TTGGTTATACCTATGCCTATATCATAGCAGGTTCCGACACCAAATTGTCCATTCGAATCACCACCTTCAGCAGATTTCAAATACCATTCAAATGCTTTTTTTTCATCCTTGGTTGTGCCTATGCCATTTTGATAGCAAGCTCCGACATTAAATTGTCCATCCAGGTCACCACCTTCAGCAGATTTCAAAAACCATTCAAATGCCTTTTTTTCATCCTTGGCAGTACCTATTCCTTCACTATAGCAGAGTCCAACATTAAATTGTCCATTCGAATTGCCATCCTTAGCAGATTTCAAATACCATTCAAATGCCTTTTTATCATCCTTGGTTGTGCCTATGCCTTCATCATAGCAGAGTCCGACACTAAATTGTCCATTCGAGTTGCCACCTTCAGCAGATTTCAAATACCATTCAAATGCCTTTTTTTCATCCTTGTTTATGCCTATGCCTTCATCATAGCAGAGTCCGACACTATATTGACCATTCGAGTTGCCACCTTCAGCAGATTTCAAATACCATTTAAATGCCTTTTTTTCATCCTTGGTTATGCCTATGCCTTCATCATAGCAGAGTCCGACACTAAATTGTCCATTTGAATTGCCACCTTCAGCAGATTTCAAATACCACTCAAATGCTTTTTTTTTATCCTTGATTGTGCCTATGCCCTGATCATAGTAGAATCCGACAGTAAACTGTCCAGCCGAATTTCCACCTTCAGCAGATTTTAAATACCATTCAAATGCTCTTTTTTCATCTTTGGTTGTGCCTATACCATTTTGATAACATAATCCAAGATTATGTTGTCCATTCGAATTGCCACATTCAGCAGATTTTAAATACCACTCAAATGCTTTTTTTTCATCTTTAGTTGTGCCTATACCATTTTGATAGCAGAATCCAAGATTTTGTTGTCCATTAGAATCACCACCTTTAGCAGATTTTAAATACCACTCAAATGCCTTCTTTTTATCCGTGGCTGTGCCTATGCTTTTATCATAACAGAGCCCGACACCAAATTGTCCATTCAAATTGTCACCTTCAGCAGATTTCAAATACCACTTAAATACCTTTTTTTCATCCTTAGTTGTGCCTATGCCATTCATGTAGCAGACTCCGACATTATATTGTCCATCCGAATTGCCACCTTCAGCAGATTTCAAATACCACTCAAATGCTTTTTTCTCATCCTTGGTTGTGCCTATGCCATTTACGTAACAGTTTCCGACATGATATTGCCCATTTGAATTGCCACCTTCAGCAGATTTTAAATACCATTCAAATGCTTTTTTTTCATCTTTGGTTGTACCTATACCATTTTGATAGCAGGCTCCAACATTAAATTGACCATTCAAATTGTCACCTTCAGCAGATTTTAAATACCACTCAAATGCCTTTTTTTCATCCTTGGTTGTGCCTCTGCCTTCATCATAGCAAACTCCGACATTACATTGTCCATTCGAATTGCCACTTTCTGCAGATTTCAAGTACCACTCAAATGCTCTTTTTTCATCTTTGGTTATGCCTATGCCTTCATCATAGCAAGCTCCGACATTATATTGCCCATTCGAGTCACCACCTTCAGCAGATTTCAAATACCATTCAAATGCCTTTTTTTCATCCTTGGTTGTGCCTATGCCATTTTTATAACAGAATCCGACATTATATTGTCCATTTGTATTACCACCTTTAGCAGATTTCAAATACCACTCAAATGCTTTTTTTTCTTCCTTGGTTATACCTATACCTTCATCATAGCAGAGTCCAACACTAAATTGTCCATTCGAGTTGCCACTTTCTGCAGATTTCAAATACCACTTAAATGCCTTTTTTTCATCCTTGGTTATACCTATACCTTCATCATAGTAAAATCCAACATTAAATTGTCCATACGAATTTCCACCTTCAGCAGATTTCAAAAACCATTCAAATGCTTTTTTCTCATCCTTGATCGTACCTATTCCTTTATCATAACAAACTCCAACATTATATTTTCCATTTGAATTGCCACTTTCAGCAGATTTCAAATACAATTCCAATACTTTTTTTTCATCCTTGACAGTGCTTATACCATCTTGATAACAGAATCCAAGTGTTTTTATTATATCCGAATTGTCATTTTCAGTTGATTTTAATAGCATTTCGAATGGTTTTTTTATTCATAAATCAAAAGACATGAATTTTTTTTTTATCCCCTTTTAAATTTACCCGAGTGTCCTTATGATCATTCAAGTTTTCCGTATTTGAGAATGTAATATAAACAACATTTACAAGTATGGTCGTAGCTTTACTATTTATGTTAATTCGTATCATTTTCACCCATAAGATCACCAAAACAACTTCCTCGCAATAGTTAAAAAAATGTGATCTAACGTTAAAGCCAGGTACGTTCATGTGACCAACAGCCAACCAAATAATGATATTTTTTGATTTGCCCGACGAGACAAAAACAAAGAAAAAAAGTGAGAAATATAAAAAATAAAAGAAACGAGTGTCTAAACCTGTCTCAAGGTACTAATAAAAATATGTCGGAAAACCATTTTTACTTACAAATCTTACCTTAACCCGTTATGGTGCGTTAGCGAAATTAAGCAAACAATTTGTCACCAAATCTAATCATTTGGTCCCCAAATTTAGAGTTTTGTTATCAAATTATATATTAATCAATCAATGTTAAACCCCGAAAAAGATTTTCGGTCTCCTGTTCTGTATCGATAATGAGTCTAACCCATTTTCCCCATAAGCTAACCCATTTTTTCAACCTTGACGCATCTCATTAGACATATCATAACTTAGAGAATGTTTGATTATCTCAGTAAAATCTATATTTACATATTATTGGTCAAAATTTTCAAAGTTTGAAGTATTTCGCAAATGCGCCGTAATGCTAACTCAACCAACCCTTACCCTAATTTTAACTAAATAATCAAAAATATATAAACGCACCTGAAATTTGGAATCGGGATTTGAATTTATCTTTAATTCCAAATTATATCACGTTTTAGACGTTTCAAGAGTTATGATTGGTTTCCTTTTGTGACTTACATAGAAAACACAAGATTAACCAATAAAAATTTTCGAATACAATCAGATAGCTGATTTTTGCTGATCATCTCATCTAATGAAAATGAATTCGCAACCATTAATACGAATTCGCAGAGTTACGACATAAAAATTTAGAAAGTACACTTTCAGCTCTATAAGATATCAAAATAATTTAGTCGGCGAGGTAATTAGATGAGAGGGCATAGGCAGAAGTTTGTCTGATTGGCTATTTTATTTATACAGTTTGGAGTACTTTTTAAACAAACGAAAACTAATCATAATGAAAAAAAAGCTGTATAGAAGGTTTCATTAGAGCTGTAAGACTTCATAACCAAAATAAGATCTAATTCTCGTCCGTTTAAAAAAGTTAGTATAGTAATAACTTCTCAAAACCCGATAAAATCAACTTATTACTAAGCCAATTTTTTTAAACGGATGAGAATTAGATCTTATTTTTGACTATGGATCTTACAGCTCTAATGAAACCTTTTATATGGTTTTTTTTTTTACTTTATTTTTATTATGGCTGGTTTTCGGTTTTTTTAAAAAAAATACTCTATAAACAGTATAAATAATGTAAAATTAAATTGAATTTATTAGTCAAACAGACGAACTTCTGCCTATGAGAGGTATGTTCAGACTAGGGTTTGATCGGTTCGGTCTCTAATAAGACCGGTTCCAATAGTACTGTGGTTCAGTTCGGTCCGTCGCCAGTCTCAAACATAGGCTATCTTCATGTGAGTGATTATCAATTTCACCGAAATAAAATTCATGCAATAATGGTTTTGAACTATTTAAAAGTTTTTTTAAAAGCTTATTTTAATAGTTTTTAATAGTTTATTATTAACCGGTCTGAACTGGTTAAAAAGACTGAAAACCGAAGATCATGTAACTGGTCAAAAGACTGATCCTTAGCCGATCTTCTCAGGACCGATCCAACCCTAGTTCATACGTTTCAATTTAACAAATATGATTTATAAATATATTAAAGCTTGGTAATGTATTTCCAAAAGGTTTACTTTGCGAATTTATTTTATTAATTAATTATTTATAATTCTAAAAGACAATATTGTTATGTAGCAAAATAGGTTTCATGAGAATATTGGAAGTTAAAATTGGGTTTTATACATTTTTATTAGTCTCTTATAATAAGTATTTGTGCATTTTATTTTTTTTTATCCTTTTATATTGTTTACTTCGTGTGTTTTAATTTTTATTTCATTTATTTGGTTATTTTTTTTTAATGTTTTTAATAAGATCTTGGTTCATACGGATATTGTTTGTAATGGGAATAATGTTCATAGGTTTTGAGTTATTGAGATTTTATAATACACCTACGCTTTTATTAATGACAATTTAGTCATGTTAAATATTTTCGTATAAAATAGAATTTTCTTGTTTGAGAAAGATTTTGATTAACAAACTATATTGTGATGTCATTGAATGATCTACCAATAACAATGAAAGTTCACCATGTTTAGTTTAATATAAATCAAGGAAATTTATATTTTCATCTCTAACCAAAAGCCTAATAATCTATAACGATATTGATTTTGGATTATATTTTTCTAAATAAGTTTTGTTTCTCGTATGAAGACGATTTTTTATTTCGTTATTTTGTAACAATGTGTATTTTGTAAATGGAAACTGACTTAAGTGGATTTAGAATTTTTATATATAACCAGCATTTTTGGGTTGATTTTATCTTATAGGGCTTAGTCAATAGAAATCAAGCAAATTTTTTCTAAGTAAATTTTTTAAAATTTTGAATAACAATAACTTAATCAAATTTAATAAAAAATTTTTACAAACTTATAGAATTTATTTAAAAAAAATTTTATTAAGTTTTTGCTAAATTATTAACATTTGATTTCTATTGACTCACTCCCATATATACACCCTAACCTAACTAGGAAATTCCAAATCTACTTAATTCTATTCCCACTTACGATTATACAATGACCACGATTTTTGAACTAAATATCGATCATTTGTCGGTACCAGTAATGCGGTAGAATCGTCCCAATGATAATCGTCACATTACTGTAACTTGTCATAACTATAGCAAGTAATATAGTAAGTTACGGCCTTAGCCGTAACTTATTATATTACTTGTTATATGGCAAGTTACAGTAATGTGACGACTATCATTGGGACGCATCACTGGTCGGTACAAATAATCACTTATTCCGACAAACAAAAACTGACTGTACGTACGTATGTATGTTACGGTTACATAACATTATTTATAAGTGTTTATAAAGGTATTTATTACTGTATTTATAAAAGGATGTTTTCTTTTTATTTTTCTTTTTTTTAACAAACATTACTGTATTAATAGACCACGTGCACAAGAGTATTTTTTATGTATGCATAAAGACGATCTTATGTTGAAGATTACGTAAGTACATACGTTTGTGTTATATATCAGATATAAAAGGGGGTATTACAGCGCTATCATGAAGTACCACTGTTGTTAAACAGGGTTTTTTTTTTTGATTGACTTAAATGACAATCATAATAATAATATAAAATTATAAAATTAGAGCGCAATTATTGAGCCGGAGTTTTAGATCAAAATTTCTTTTATTTATTTTTGATCTCTTTCAAACATTATAAAAGTCTTAAAAGAAAAAGAAACGAAATTATTTTAACGATTAAATATGGATTTCTTAATTCAATCATTTTGCCTTGGATTTGGATCTATGGTGAGTAGTGTGAATACATTTAAATATTTAAATAATTATTAATAAAAGTAAAGAATGTATGCTAATTCTTTTAAATTCACAGATATCTTTATTCAACCTTGGCGTTTCTATCAAATATTATTTTTCACGCTATGGAAAGGCTTCGGATATGTTTAGAATAATTTGCAATTATACCATTCTTTGGCAATTCGTCCTTCTATTTGGATACTACGCAGCACCAATTCAAGTAAATTTAATGGGATGTCAAGCTTTAGGTTATTTATATATAATTGGCCAAACGATCTTTCGTCTATCATTTGCTGCATACCTTTTATGGAGAGTAAGACTGATTGAAAAGAAACGAATAGATTCTGTAACCGGTCTCGGTCTGTTAATTATTATGGCATTTTCCTCGGTAGATTTTATATTTAATTAATATTTATTTCATATTTATTTCATATTTATTTCATATTTATTTATAACTAACCTATTTAAAATTTAGATTCTGGTCTTGTTTTTCATTGATCCACAAGTTTTTCAAGAAAATGATCAAGGAGTTATATTAAATTATTGTGACTATTCTTACAACCAGCCAACAAATTTCTTAACATGGGTTTCGATCACTTTAAATTTCCTAATCGATACTTATATAACAATTCGATTGATTCAGATTCTTCGTAGTAATTCTAATCAAATCGGGTCAGTCAATTCACCAATTGATAACGAACAAACAAATTCTAAGGTTAAAATGATAAATTGGAGTTTGATACTTTTAAGTATATCGTTCCTTTTGATTTGGTTTCAATTCCTTGAAAATAAATCTTCTAGTGTTCTTGGTGATTCTCTTTTAGTTTTTATTCTTAAAGCATTATTATTTACTGTTACAAGTTTTATTATTACTATTGATAATGATATTAAACTGACTAATGAGGTAACTAGGACTAATCTGGGAAATAAAGTAGAAACAACTGTGACGTCTGTGTGAACTTATGCAAATTTTAGGTTTTTTCTGAAACATGTATTATCTGTATTATTAAGTAATAATAAGAAATTTAAAGTTCTAAATGTATTGTATATATAAAATTTTATACGTACATGATATATATCTTATCATTAATAAATAACTATATATAATTATGCACATTTAATTGGTCTTAACGTTAGTGTTATGGTCTCACTTTTAAAATTTCCGGCTTCCACCCCTGTAATTATGATCGTTACCACCAATCGACCAATTGATCACTTGAAATCGGTCACTTAAGTTTAATATATCCATATCTATCGCTATAACTACAAACTATTGTAATTTCGAATTTCTTATTGGTGATTTTTTTTTGTTTATTTGTGTTTCTTATCTGTATTTCTTTATGATAACAAATATAATAAATGATACCTTACTTGCATTTCCTATTCTACTTTTAACATATAAAAAAAAGTTAAATCTCTTATGGAAAAATAATAAATTCCGTTCATGCAGTCCATTTTAAGTTTAGGTTTATGATAATTTAGATATACAGATACGCTCATTATAGTGAACCCTGGACAGATTCTATATTCTGTTATGACCTATTTGCTAATTATAGTTTATGACATCGAAGATTTACTATATCGATATCGATGCATTACATCATCGTTATGGTCTTACAAAGTTAAAATGCTCCATAATTATACGTATAATTATAATCGTGGATATGAAAAAAAATAGTAATCTAGTACAATAAATTTTTTAGATCCAATTTTAGTATGTAAAATTTAAGGTAATCTTGATTTAATCCCGCTTTTATAACAATTTATTTTGGATATTGATGGTTTTCGTTTCTCAAGAAAAAAAACTAATTTACAACTTGAAAAAAGTTCGAAAAAGTGAACATGAAGTCGGAAGGTCATGTGACAGCGTCCTCAATCAGTGAACTTTTAAACCTACGCATCGGTTTTAAATTCTATCGATAATTACAATAATTAATATGTCATTTTCAGTTTTTACCAATTGAAATAAAAAGAAATATCCAGATATAGAAGTGTTTTAGATAAGTCAGTATTTAGGCATAAGTTTAATTACGAAACAACACACATTGTTTTATAATCAACGAATGACACATCAATTGAAAAATAACCATAGCAAGCATCTATTTATTTATTCGTTATTTGTTTACTATAACTTATTATAATAATAAATTTTTCTGTACTAATTATACCATTTTCTTATTAAATTTTAGAACTAAAACACTAATTGGCCTGGAATGAGGGAAAGACCCTACTAATTCAGATGACATCCGACTCCCGTTCCATAATGATTTTGTAATACCATAAATAATATAAGCTAGCATTATATAAATTTTCATTTCAATTTAGGCTCCTGGTAGGCAAAACTTTAAGCTCTGTGAAACGCCATCATTTATTATTTTTTATATATTTATTTATATATTTATTTATATAAAGCATATAAAATCAAATCCTTGGTTTTAGTATATTAAAACTCTAAAATAGACTTAGCCACCCATACCAATCCATTCAAGAGTTAATTAAGAAATCGTTAGTTCCTATTAATGAATCTGATGCAAAAATAACCTTTTGAACTTTTACAGTAATTTTATTAGTTACTTTTGACGAAGCCAAAAGAACATGAATAAAAATATTGTTCCATAATTTTATTATAGTATGTTATTGTAAGATGTCCGTATATGCAGTTTGAGAACGGTTAATACAGGGTTTAAATGAATGCTAATAATTATTCGATTTATAATTGTCGTGGCTAATTTCATATCAATTCTCAGCATCAACCGACCTCAGTTTCAGCCGCAATAATAATTAAAAATCAATAAGTAACCAATTAAGAATTATAGTTGCATAATACCAATTGTTTGCAAAAATCAAACTAAAAAAAAAAGAAGAAAGCGAAAACAGTATTTTGTTAATATCTCAACGATATTTATAATTTTAATTTTATATGAATACTGAAATCGCTATCATTCATTTAACCAAAAATCATTCAAAACAGATCAGCTCTCAAAATATCACAGCAGAAAACTAATATTTCAAGAAGAAAATAATTTAAAATTATTATAATTAGTAATTTTAGACTTAAACAAATGCTACGAATCATAGCAGTCATTTAAACTAGCAGCATTTTATTCTATTCCTCTTCAGTTATGATTTGGTTAAGTTTTAATACTACTCCTTCTTAATAGATTTTATAAACTTGTAAATCTCTGTTCATTTTCTTTTTGGAATATTCTGATTAAAGTGTCTTGTTCTAAATTGGTTTTTATAATATTTTTTTGTTTTTTTTTAACATTTCAGTTGGATTAATATACAGATTTTTTCATCCATTTTTCTTATTAAAGAGTTTATCTATTTTGATTTTTTGTTAGTTTATCTAAGAGGCTTATTAGTATTTTTTATATTTTTTATTGATTATTTGACACCTTCTCTATATATTATATTATCTTTATTTTATTTTTTTTGTAATTTTAGTTTACTAACTCTTTTGTTTAAAGAATCTTTTACTAATTTTTTAAATTATCAATAAGTTTTAAAGATCTGGTTATCTTTTTACTTAGGTTTTCCCAAATAGACTTTTTGTTATTCAATTTCAACAGATTTACATAGCCACAAGAACTTATTTAGTGTTTGCATCATTCAGTTGTTGGTTTGCATTCTTCTGTATAATTCCAACATTGCACAGATGTCCTATGACCTGTTAGTCATACTGGTGTGATCATTATTACAGATATTCTAACCTAATCATTAGTAACAGTTATCATAATATGAATATTACATAGATGATTATTCAAATTTTCACTATTAATAAGATTTAAACACCTAATCTACTATTTGAGAGTTGACAACCTGATCATTTCACTAGGTTGTCACATTCTCTAAAGGTTTTGTTTTTTGTCAATAAATATATGTATTATATACAAAATGATTAATACTAAGTAATTGAATATAAGGTAGAATACTTTTATAATATTTATCTAATATAATTTTGTTTTTATTAAATTTAAATTGCAAAGATTGTTTACCTTTTATTAGTTAATATAATCTTGATAAAAGGTGTTCTATTTAAATAAAATACTATTATTAGTAGTATATAGTTGCTCTAATTACTTATATAATTTTATATTATAGCAACTGTTTTTAATAATTAGATTAAGATACCTGTAATGACAGTTATATCAGCATGACTAACAGGTCATAAGGCATTTATATAATTAATTATATAGAGAAATATAAACTGGCATTAGATAGTACAAATACCAAATAAGTTTTTTTGGCTATATAAATTCATTAAAATTAAAAAACATAGTATTATATAATTTGTATTCTAAAGTTAGAATAATGACTGTGTTAATAATGTAAGCAATTTGTTTGTCAATAATTTTCTTTATATTAGTAATGTTGATGAAATTAAAAGCTTCTTCTTTTATTAGTTTAATAACTTAAGATTGTTTATTGTTAAGTATAAACTAACATTTAAAAAACTTAAAAAGTTGGTTTTTAGTAATAAAATAGATTAAAAATCTAGAGAACCATATTAAAGCAGTAGAAAAATTTGTAGCTAAGATAGATTTGGTTGGATTAATTTAAATATTAGCTATTTAGTAAAAAGAAATAGCAGTTTTAGTTATTAAATTAAGTTTTTTTTAGACTGTACAATCTTAAAAGTATTATCTATATAGGCTAAAACTAAAACAGATATTTTTATATTATAGATTTGTAATAAATATAGATTAGTTTTTCAAGATGCAAATAAAAAGTATTTTAAGAATTGTATAGCAATTTTGTGAATTAAAAGGTTATAATAGATTATCTAAAATAGAATAATTATAGTTTTTCTTTGATTTATATTATTTTTAATTGAATAAAAATTAGTAAAACTAAGATTAGATATAACTCAATTTTGATGATTAGTAAGATAATTAGTAATTATATTAATAAAAGGTTAAGGCATTAATATTTATTTAAAAGACTTAGTAAAAAGCTCTAAATTAACAAAATCATATGTTTTGCTTATGTTCTGAGACAGAAATCATAATTGTTTATTATTGCACTTAGCATCTTTAATAATATATATAAAAATGAAAATGCTATTTTTAAGTAGAGCAATGTAGTTATAAGAAGATAGAATAGAATGTTATATGAATATTGAATTAAAGTGATTAGTAAGAAGTTTAGTATATAATTTTTTAATATATTTAACTAAACTAATAGGTTTTGTATTAGATAGGTTTTTATTAAAGATAGGTTTTTTGAATATTAAAAAGATACAACTTTTTTTTATTACTTAAATATATAGAAAGTTTAAATATATTAGTTAAAAAGAGAAACTATTGCTTAAATAAAAGTAAAATTAGCTTGTTTAAGCATTTTATAGCTAATTTTAGATAGTCTATATGCTTTGTTGTTGAGAAATTGACTAAAAATTCTAGTAATTTTATTTAATAAAAATTTAGTCAAAACTAAATTATAGTGGTCTAGTTTGGTTATAAGTTTTAATTTATATTTTTTAAACTAGTTAGTATTAAATTCATAAGTGTTAATAGGTTTATAAGCAGTTCAGTTGTCAAAATGATGTTGAATATGTTCTTTGATTAGTTTGGAGTTTGTGATAATATTATTTAATGTTTTAAAATTATAAGATTTTACTGAATTCTTGTAGTAATTAAATATATTATTAATTATTAATTTGGAGTTAGTTTGAAATTTAGAGCATCTAAGATTAATATGCTAATTTATTTGTTTTTGAATTTGTTTAATGTTTTTAATATTTTAGACATAATAAAGAGCTTGTCATTTAATATTAGTATTAGTAATTTAGCTTGGTATAAACTTATAAAAATCAGATATAAAAGATATATTAAGATAATAAATTAAATTAAGATAGTAAATAATAGAATTAAGATATATAAGCATAGGTAATAAGTTGGTTTAAAAAGCTTTAATTTGTCAAATAATATAATTAAGTTTTTTAAGTTTTAGATA